TTTCAAACGTTTAGAAGGATATTTCTACGTATAAATAGAGCAGGGTGTTTTAGGCGAGAGTTAGTCTGTTCTACTTTCGTGTCGCGTAAGTCTCCCCGAGGATATTATGGCCTCCGTATCGTTTTCGCTTCGCGCGGTGCTGCAGAAGTTTTTTATAGTGGGCTGCAATTTGAAAGGCCACTATAACGCTGACGAATTTGTCAGCAGATTATCAGACGATGTGGAGAAGAATTACGACGCGTTTTGGGCTTTCGCGCTCGCGAGTTCGAACACGTTGCTATGCGTTATGCATAGCCTCGGATATTGCGCCCAAGATCATAGGCTGATTACAATAATCGGCGAGATCTTGGAAATGCGCGCGGACTGCGGGCATGTGGAATCCGATGCGGGGAGGCACATCGCCGATTTCAGACATCGTAATACTTACGGTGTGAAGAAATGTAAGTACCACCAATGAAAATTATTAAATACATATATATATATAATCATATTAATTGAGTTTAATTTTTTAAAGCGATTCCTGTTGCCGCGGTAAAGCCGATGCCGCGACGCGAGAAAGACGCGCGGAGGAGGAACCGGTGGCGGGACCCTCGCGTAAGTTAGAAAACAAGGAAAATTAATCGAACGTTACAAATGACGTATTAAAATATTACATTTTCTAGGGAGAGCACGAATCGAGGCGACACCCTCCGAGAGCGACATCGAGGTCATAGACTTAGGCGCCGGTAAGTCTAAGAATAACGAATTGTAAAAGTGTACGCGTATTAATAATCAAATTACGTTTTAGAAGCAGAGAATGAATCGGAAGAGGATAACGCCTCACATAGATCCGTGAGTCCGGCGGATCCAGCGATCTTTACGCCACGTAAGTTTGAACAATAAGATTTAAAAATTAAAAAGTCCTACGTCGGGTAGTTTAGATAATAAAATATTACCTTTTAGTAGAGGAGATGGAGAACGAGGAGGAGGAGGAGGAGGAGGAGGCTAGGCGAAGAAGAAGCGCAGCCTTTCGATTGGGACAGCGATATCGGGTATCAGCTGATGCGGGAAGAGGCTGGCGAGGGGCAGGAGGAAGAGGAGGAGGGGAGGAAGAGGAAGGTAACAATATTTCGCCACGCTTTTTAATTAATTTGCTTCGTAGTAATTTTAAGAGAGTATTTCTTATTAGATATATCATACTCTCCGGTTTTACCCGCGTCTCCGGAATATTGACAAAGAGGCGGGGAAGGGGGAGAAATATTATCCCGGGCGTGGGTATAAACCAACTAGAGGTGAGTTTCCTTGGTATGCTATGATATAGTCGTTGTAACGCGCGAGAGAAAGAAAAATAAGATTCAAACGTAATATAATTCGCTGCTGTCGGCGATTAACTAACTGCATTTAATTTTTCCAGTACAGATTGGCGCCGGTGCTAACCGACCCTCTTCGCAAAATGAGAGAGAGGAGAATTCTCCAGCGGAAGAAGAAGAAGAAGAAGAAGAAGAAGAAGCCGAACTCTCGCATAATTCCTTGGAGAACAACGATAATCACGCCGACAACGACGATGACGACGACAACGACAGAGCCGATGGTGTGCTCCGGCAGCAGCATCAGCATCAGCAGCAACAACAGCAGCACCAGCAGCAGCAGCAGCAGCAGCAGCAGCAGCAGCAGCAGGAACAGCAGCGTCGTCAGGTCGTAGATAATTTTCATTTTATAGGACTACAGGCGGAAAACTCGCGGCGATTTCGAAACTTCGAGATACTCGGTCGGGAGGCGAGTTTTAAAATACGTGCGTTGCCCGAGGGTAGCGATACCGTACGCTGGATAGAAAACGCGTTCCGTGAAATTCACGCGTACACGATTCGTTCGAGCGCCCCGAGCGATTACGTGGGGTTAACGTTCGATTCGGTGGATCTGACGCACGGCCCGGCGGGGCTATCCTTTCGTCCGGTGCGTGACTTGACCCACGAGGACATATGGGGACTCGTGAGTTCGATAGCGCAGAGCGCCGCGGGACTCGATATCGCCGAAAGTTTCATCGTACGCGTTTTTAACGTCGCGGCGCCCACGGGGCGCGGGGGCGTGTCAAATAAATTGACGCGAGAGGACGTTGCTAAGCGCTCGAGTTTGCAGCTCGGCAATACTGATAATTTGTGCCTGCCCCGATCACTCGTAGTGGCGCGAATTTATTGCGAGCGCGGAAATCTGCGCGAGGGAGAACTCCACAAAAGGTGGAATTCCGTAAGATACCGGAGTTCTAAATTACAGCGGACATTAGCGTTAGAACTGACGAGGAACGCCGGTATTACGATACCCGAGGAGGGATGCGGGATTCGCGAAATCGAGCGTTTTCAGCGGTTTCTCGCCGCTGAAAATATAGCGGTATATAATTTTAGCACTTTTGCGCGCGGGGGGAAGCTATTGTACGACGGCTGCGAGTTACTTGGCTCTCTAGGTCGCGAACCCACCCACCGATTAAATATATTGTATTACGAGCGTTCGCGTCATTATAACCCCATCCTAAATTTAAAGGCCGCCGCCGGTTCTCGAGGTGGATATTGCGTGACGTGCAACACGGGTTTTCGTAACGACAGAGGCCATCGCTGCGCGAAAAGGTGCCCGCGATGCTACGCCGCGGCGTCGTGCGAAGATCGTGACGCGGAGATCGTCAAGTGCGCGTCGTGTAATCGTTCGTTCTTCGGTAATTCGTGTTTCGAGCGTCATCGCGCGGAAAAATCCTACGACGGTAGATCGAGCACGAGCGTTTGTAAATCCGTTCGAATTTGCGACGGTTGCGGGCGATTCGTAAAATCGAACTCGCTACACAGATGCAACGTAGCGTATTGCAAGACGTGTCGCTCGTGCCAGTCCACGAATCATCTTTGTTTTATGCAGCCTCGTCGATGCGCGAAAAACCGTGCGCGCGAAGATCCCGGGGAGGGTACGAGCGCGATAGAGACGCACGCGAACGAAACCGACGAGACATCCGCGACGGCGTCGGCGGCGGCGGCGACAGACGCAAACAGGAATCGCGTCGCATTCGTGTTTTACGACTTCGAAACGCGACAAGACGAGACGCTCGAGGGTTGCGAGAGCGGAAAGATCCATGTGCCGACTCTTTGCGTCGCGCAGCAGATTTGCGAAGAGTGCTCGACGATAGAGGATACGACGTCGGTGCGATGCCGCTGGTGCGGAGTGCGCGAATTCGTATTTCGGCACGATCCGGTAAAACAGTTTGTCGATTTCGCCACGCGTACGACAAAGTATTTCAAAAAGATCATTTGTATCGCGCATAATGCAAAAGCGTTTGACGCGCAGTTTATTTTAAAACACCTGGTAGAGGACGCGAAAACGAGGGAAGAACCACGGGTGATTTTGAACGGGACTAAAATTATCGTAATGACGGTCGGACATACTAAATTTATCGATAGCGTGAATTACATGCCGATGCGCTTGTCCGATTTACCAAAAGCTTTCGGGTTGCGGGATACGGCGGATAAGGGGATCTTCCCGCATTTGTTTAACACGCGCGCGAATCAAACGTACGTCGGTCCGTTACCCGAAGTACGATATTATTCTCCCGAACAAATGAAACCCGAGGAGCGCGAACGGTTTCTAACGTGGCACGCGGAGATGACGCGTAAAAATATCGTTTTCGATTTTCAACGCGAGATAATCCGGTATTGTCGCAACGACGTCGATATCCTCCGACGCGCGTGTTGGGCTTTCAGAAAGATCTTTTTAGAACGTGGAGGCGTATGTCCGTTCGAGGAATGCCCGACTATCGCCTCCACGTGCATGAGGATTTTTCACAAGAACTTTTTGCGCGAAAAGGAAATAGGACTCATCCCGGTGGGGGGATATAGATACGCCGACAATCAGTCGAGCAAGGCTCTACGATGGCTGGTGTGGATGGAGCGCGAGCTCGGTCATCGTATAATCCACGCGGGTCGAGGACGCGAGTACCGAATCGAAGGCACGCGCGTCGACGGGTATTACGAATCGAGGACCGCGGGAGATACGAACGAGACGCGGCACTGCGTGCTGCAATTCCACGGGTGTTTTTGGCACAGCTGTCCGGCGTGCTTTCGGCTGAATCGCGATAAACGACTTTCGGGTCGCGAAGACACGATCGACGCGCGCTACGAGCGGACTCTCGCGACGACGTGGCGTCATCGAAAACAGGGATACCACGTGACGGAGAAATGGGAGTGCGACTTCGACCGAGAGACGCGCGAGAATCGCGAGATGCGGGATTTTTTCCAGAATCATCCGTTGCTGAAATCCCCGCCTCTCGACCCTCGCGACGCGTTTTACGGCGGTCGTACGGGAAATATCGCTACGTTGCGTGAAATCACGGGTAACGAGAAAATACGCAACGTAGACGTGTGCTCGCTGTATCCGTACGTACTGAAAACCGGCGCTTTCCCGATCGGGCATCCCGACATTTATATCGGACAAGAATGCTCCGCGTTAATCGGGACAGCGCCGAATTACAATTTCGACTCGGTCGAGGGTCTCGTTCGCTGCAGAGTACTCCCCCCGCGCGATCTCTTTCATCCGGTACTCCCGTATCGCGTACGCGGCAAATTATTGTTTGGCCTCTGTCGAAGTTGCTGCGAAACGTTCTCGCAGGACGCGTGCACCCACGATCACCCCGCCGATCGCGAATTTGTCGGCACCTGGGTATCCGCCGAATTGCGCAAAGCCCTCGAGAAAGGCTATCTCGTGACGGAGGTGAGTGAGCTTTGGCAGTACAAAGTCACGCGATACGATCGCGTTACGCGGCAGGGCGGTCTGTTCGTCGAGTATATAAATTCATTTTTGCAACTGAAGCAGGAGGCCAGCGGATGGCCGAGCGAATGCGCGGATGACGAGGCTAAGGAGCGTTACTTGCGGGAATACGAGGAAATCGAGGGTATCGCTCTCGATAGGAATAATATCGCTCGAAACCCCGGTTTACGCTCGGTCGCGAAACTCTGTTTAAATTCGTTTTGGGGAAAATTCGGCCAGCGAAGCAATCTGCCGAATACCGAGATCGTGAAATCGCCCCAGCGTTTCGCGACTCTGCTCACGAGCCCCGAGCACGAAATTACCAATATACTCCCCGTCAACGACGAGCTGCTATATGTCTCGTGGCGGTTACGCGAAGAGGCAGTCGCGGCTTCGCCGATGACGAACGTCGTGATCGCGGCATACACGACGGCGCAAGCGAGGCTAAAATTATACGAATACCTCGAGCTATTGGATAGACGCGTCTTGTACTACGATACCGACTCGTGCATATATGTAAGTACAGGCGAACCGGACGAATATGAGCCGCGTACGGGAAATTTTCTCAGCGATATGACGGACGAGCTCGAGAGTTACGGACGCGGTAGCTACATCGAGTCGTTCGTGTCGGGCGGTCCGAAATTTTACGCGTATATCGTTCGCACGCCGGAAGGCCGTACGCGCGAGGTTTGTAAAATAAAGGGGATAACTTTAAATTATAATAATTCGTTAATCGTAAATTTTAATAGTATTAGGAAATTACTGACAGACAGAGAGGGAAGAACGAGGGAGGAGGGGAAGGAGGAGGAGGAGGAGGAAAAGGGAGAAGAAACGTCGGCGATAAACCTGCGTTTTAGTGCGATTCGACGTACGGCGTTTCACGAAATCGTGACTCGTCAAGAGACGAAAGCGTGCGCCCCGGTATTGGTGAAACGCCGATTTATCGATCATCGTTACTCGCTTCCGTACGGCTACCGCGTCGTCGAACCCCTCGACGAATAACAATCTTCTTTCTCTCGTCGTCGTCGTCGTCTCGCGTTGGACGCCAGCGAGTTTTCCGCCGCGCGTAACCGTATAGAAATTGTAAAATATTGAAATAATTGTAACAATAGAATAAGCATATTATTTGTAAATCTAATACTTTTTATCACGCATTCATCAATCAACCGTATCGTATAAATATAAGAATATTAATGTATAATTTTATTGTAGCGAGCAAGTATTTGTAAGAATACGCAAAAATATAAAAACGGATTTTTTTTAAATACTGAAAATTTTTCCATGTTTTCCATCGAATATTAAAAAATATTTAAAACGTAAGAAAGCCTTTTTTATTATTCGTACGTATTTCCTTTTCTCCTCCCAAATTAAAAATTATTTCCTGCGAAAATTGTTTTCTTTCTCATCCGTAAGTTTTTTCCGCGCGCGCGCGCCACGAGCCTATACGCGACGCGGCGGCGGCGGATAAGCCTGTCGCGGCGCGCGGGCTCGGATCAGCTGATCGTCGCCGCCCGCGTCCCACCGCGGCACGAATCAGCTAATCGACGCCGCGGTGCTGTTCGCTAGCTAGCGTACGCGGGTGTACGCTAGCGCGAGCATACGTACGCTAGCGCGGGGAAGACGATCTTCGTAAAGACTTTTCTCCGGAATTTATCTCGCGTGTCCGACGTGCGTTTCGAGAGAGTTTTGTTCTACTACGCCGAGTGGCAAGACGCCTACCGGCAATTACATCGCGACGAAGAGGAAAAGGGCGGGGGGAGAGAGGTAGATGTAGGAGGGAAAGAAGCGCGAGGAATACGCGCAACGGGGAAAAATATTATCGAATTTCGCGAGGGTTTGCCACGTCCGGAGGATTATTCGAACGATCCGCTTTCCCCGAAATTGCTGATAATCGACGATCTTATGAGGGAATCGTCGTCGAGCGACGCGATCGTGGATCTCATCACCAAAGGCAGCCATCATAAGAATCTCAGCGTGATTCTCATCTCTCAAAATCTTTTCCATCAGGGGCGCGGGCAACGCGACATATCTCTCAACGCGAATTACATCGTTGTTTTTAAAAATCCTCGCGATCGCGCCCAAATTCGTCATTTGGCGCGACAAGTCTCGCCCGACGATCCGAAATTTCTAGAAGAGGCCTACTACGACGCCACGTCGAGACCGCACGGGTATCTACTGCTCGATCTGAAACAATCGACTCCGGACGAATATCGATTTCGCACCTGCATCTTTCCCGACGACGCGACGCATTACGTCTACGTAGCGCGTAAATCATTCTCCAGCGGATACGTATAAAATAGCGTACATGGCGTGCGCGCGGATCAGTCGCGTGATTTTCTCGCGATGAAAGAGAAGGCGACGAAGAAGGAAGAGGAGGAGAAGGAGGAGGAGAACAGAGCTACGAAAACCGCCAGACGCTCGATCGGACGGAGAAACGTCTGTCTTCTCGAGACGTTGTGCCATCTGAACAAAAAGCAACGTGCGCACTTCCTACGAAACGCAGACGATAAATTTGTGCGCTGTATTCGCGAGTGCGTTTACAATACACTCAAGGGTAACGTGCCGCTCGAACAGCGCGAAAAAAAGCGTCTGAACAAATACAAAACGACGCTACGACGCATCGCGACCGAGCGCGGTAATTGGAAGGAAAAGAGAAAGCTCTTGGTGCAGCGAGGCGGATTCTTACCCTACATTATCGGGCCCATACTGGCGGCTTTGCTATCGCATATTATCGGCGGTGGGACGGGATATTAAAATCGAGTCATGGGGGAAAGGGCGAGAAAGATGGTTTTAATTTCTACGGAGAATCTCGAGAGAATGCAGCGACAATTACAACAACGTCAACCGCTGATTACCACCTCCAGCAGCA